ATGATCTTCTAGATCCAAAGATTATTGACCTTATCAGTAGTTTGAAATGTGAAAAGGACACTCTTAAGCGTGAAAAGATCATTCTGCAGATGAAGGTGGATGAACTTGAGAATATTTAGCAATGGATGTTCATGAGGAAGATGATGATGATGGAGGGATTGAACTGGAGGGAAGGCATATTCCTGTAAATTGTACAGTTTGAGGGATGGTTAAGATGAATGAAATGAGTCTCACTAGGTGGGTAATGCTCTTATGCGTCATTGTCGGATTTGTGACAGTTTGGATGATGAAGTGAGAAGGAACATTGGTTTGTCATTGGTAGGAATAGTTTAATTATTGTAAGTTTGTTTTGTTGGAAGTATTTTGGATCATGTAATGTTGTACTAATGTAATGTTAAATTTGTTGAAGTTATTAAACGCGGCCTTGAGTCTATTACGCAACCAAGTAGATAGTTTATTGATAGACCCAATGTCTATTATGCAATCTTTGGGTTATGCCTGATGCAATGTTATATTTGATCAAGTTATTTGTACTAGACACATTGTCTACTACGCAACCAAGTAGTTAGTTTATTACTAGACACATTGTATATTACACAACCAAGTAGCTATCTGTTATAATATAATAAGAAAGTGGTAAGGAAACAAAAATTACAGCAGCAACAGTTAATAAGCAACAAGGTAGTTTCATTACATAGAGGTAGATGCAAATATCATAAATTACAACAAGTTCACCCAAATTGAATTTGTCCCATGACCAACACAAATTGAAATTACAACTATAAGACTAAGAAGGGTCCATCCTTCCCCTAAAGATATCAATTGCAAAATTTTTCCTGAACAACTCCAGTCGCTTGTCATTAAGCTAATCCAGCAGCGTATCAATTAGGAGGAAGTCAATAACCTTTACTGCATATGCTCCACTACTTTCACTACAATAATCAAAGACACAATTAGTTATTAAAGAAACCAGAAGAATGAGTAAAACATAATGGATGACACATTTAATTTACCTTTGCTGAATGGCTGGCACATCCATAATACGCTCTCAGGACCATTTCTTCGTAAGCACATCTTGGCCTAAGTCTGCAAACTGGCCAGTTTTCATCAAAATCCTAAGCATCATGAGTGTTCTTCTAGTTTACCATCATCATACAAACTGACATTGTTATCGTAAATTCGAATCAAATCCTCTGCCAAGTGGAAAAAAACAAGCACAAAATATTTGTTATCAATTTGTCACACACAGTACAATAGCTTAGCCTTGAACCATTCCACAGTCCCAGGTTTTGGCATACTTCCTTGAGGATATAGCATCAAGGGTGTAAGGCACAAGTCTGGACAAGCATAAGCTATCTCACAAAAGTCCAAATCCTTTCCCTGTTTACTGGCAGCCTCCTTGATCTTATCCCATGCAATGCATATGTTATTGCATAATGCAATATCCATAACAACATGAATACAGGCATAAAGGCGTGGATATTTTATGTTTCATATATGCATCAGAGGCAAAAGTTCCTCCACGTGCTAAATATTATAAAAATGGTACGTTAAATATGGAGCTACTAAAAAAAAATACACGAAGTGATTAAGGAACTTACAAAAATTAAAACAAACGGGTTAGAACCGCACAACTGCTCGAAAAAACTCCAACCATAGCTGCCAGTCAAGAAGTTTTTGGAAAACTTCTCCTTCTTGTCAAACTATTCACAGAATAGTTTCTTATCTTCCTCCAAAACTGGTTTGAGTACATCTACCTTTGGTTTCTTCTTCTTGATCTGTTTCAGCTTCCTCATCTTGCTTGCAGAAATTGAAGCATTCCTCAATCTGCTTTGCAATCTTGTAACTTTGTACCAAGGTGTCTCAACTGCTTTAGAAGGGCTCTCATTCTGATTTTGCATCTCCCTAAGGATCTTCAACACCTTATCCAATTTACCATTCACAACATTCAACTCTTCGCGCACGTCTGTATCACTTAACTGCATATTGCACATCCTGCATGGGCCTCCTCTACCAATATCAAAAAAATCACCAACTAGTGGTGAACCAAGAATACTCCCACCCAAAGGGTCATCATTAGAAATGTAAGCTTCATCATTAGTCTCTAAGCTCACTGCACTAGGTGCCTTTTTAATGGCAGACACCTATTCCAAATCAACCGCTAGCTGGTCGATTATAGGATCCGCTACCTTATCGTCATATGATACTAAATTCTTCATGTAGTCCATATCCATATTATGTAGGGTAGTAACAAGGTAAGGGTGCACCTCCTGAAATATAGCATAGATAGAAGTCAATAGACAAGCAATATAAAATAATAGACACGAGGTCTATGATAATCTCCTACTTTGGTTGATTCTAATCTACTGGTGGAGTGTTATTGTATTCCCAATCTCACCACACTAGGGTCATCTACTCTCTACTTAAAGGGATCCCAATCAGGGTCTAATGTCACTTTCTTATTGTGCCATCTCAACATCCTTGGTAGCTACATCGGTATGACCTTTGATTTCTCGGTACTACGACTAAATAGTGGAATGCTTCGTACGCCCATGCCTATATTTTTTCATGAACCAAAACCTATTAATTTCTGTCTACAATAAATAAAATAATAGATAGTACTCAACTGCAAAGAAATTTTGAGAAGGTTTTTTAATACTTAGCATGAATACCCATGGGAAGCCGTACATGGCATAACTAGCGGATTTGGACTTTTTCCTAGAGATTTTGTTGTCCTTCCTCTTGATCACATATGATTTGTATATTGGCCACATGTCCTTCTTCAACTATTCAATTGTAAGCTCAAAACACTCCTTGCCCCATGGATATTTCATAAAAACGTTCAGATTGTTAGCCATACAAATTCATTTCTTATCGACGCACGCTATATTATCCCTTGCAAGCAAGACTGAATGGAAAAACCACACCAATGCAATATTAAACCTCTCGACTGTGACAAACCTCTTGGACTTCAACTATTTCAAAAGTAGCTATGCATCCACCCCTTCCTGCTAGACTGGCAAACTTTGTCGCAGAATGCTTCGCCATCATCCATAACTTTCTTCATAGCTTCTTTACTGGGTTTGGCACCACAGTTCAATCCAGTCAACATAGCAAACTCCTTTAATCCAAAGTGAACAAGCTTGTATCTAACTAAAAACCACAACTCGCGCTTCTTCGCATTATAAATTCAGCGAATCAGCAGGGAATGGACAAGTTATCCATTGAACTGTGTCCAGTGCTCTGAAAGTTTTGCAAACTTTCCAAAACAACTACTATTAAACTTTTCAATCAATTTTATTGTTCTAAGTTTATCTTTGAACTCATGGAATACATTGATCCTATACCTCACACTAATCTTGGCCAGAAAACATCTATGATTTCTTAGAAAAGTCCTGAATTTGTATTTAGATGCGTCGATCACCCTTACAAACACAGAAATCGACAGAGCATCCTAGTCACCTTCAACTGCTGCATGTGTTTCACTTTCTAGTCCATCTTCAAGTTGTTCATCATCATCATCATCTTCTTATGCTACTTCCCCTTCTTCTGCTACATCTTCTTCTTTGTCTTCTTCAACATCTTTATCAACCTCTTGAGCAGCAGCATCACCATTTTCATCATCCTCCCCACCTAAAGTTTCATCATCACCGTCCTTTTCTTCTTCGATAATTATTTTTTTAGAAACTCGTTCTTCCATTTGAGTTTATGCTGCATTTATGTCCAAGTCTTCTTCCTCCTCCTCATCAACACCCTCCAATGCTAACCTCCTTGAAACAGTCTTTTTACTAGTAGGTATGTCCTCGTCAACTAATCTAGACCTTGATCTTGTTCTTTTTTTACTGATAGACTTTGATGGATCTTTGTTCTTTTTTTTCCTATCACGCTTAGAAATCTCAGCATTTCCTTTACTAGGAAAAACTTTAGAAGTATCTACATTTTATTTTCTAGTAGTAGTTTTTGAAGGGTCGGCAATTGCTTTACTTGGCGATGCTTCTTTTTCTGCATTTCCTTTCCTGTTTGAAGGCTTTGAAGGGTGTGCAATTGCCTTCTTTGTCAAAGGAATATGCTTCTTAGAATTGATTCCCTTCTCATGTTACCTACATGTAAATATGCAATGTCACATTTAATAATTTCAAACTTATGATCAAAATAAGAAAAATAATCCCCAATTCCAGCAAACATCTATGACCAGAAAACAATCGACCACAAATTTATCAATAAACATTAGGTCACCAGTCACGACGAAATTCTAAAATACAGAGCACAGAGGTAGTCCAAGAAGCAAATATAATCACTCACGCCATATAAGATATGGTTATACACAACCCAATCGATCTTGAACATGCATATGAACGAATCACTCTATAAAATTTGAAATAAAAAATGTAAGAAACGAAAAAAAAAAATTTAGAATTTACCAAAATTGACGCGTTCTGATCTTTAATACAATGCTTGATGGGTCTATAGAGACAATTACACCCAAAATCGAACCTTGATTCTTGTCCCTTCCCACCAGAAACCATCTTGTTCGATAGGGTTGAGTGACAGAGAGAAGAGAAAGCAGAGAGAGTAGAGAGATGAGAGAGAGATTGGGCGTAAAAATGAGAGAGAAGTAATATTTTTCAAACCTTATAGGTGACCTACAAGTTTTAAAAATATTAAAAAGTCCTCATCCACCCTAACCCACTCATTTAACCATTTTTCAACCCCAAAAAATTGAGAAAGAAAATGTGAGGTCACTTGACCAATTCAAGTGTTAAGGAGGTATTCTTGACAAATGTTCTCATAAAACACATTATTTATTTGCATGTCAAAGTGAAAGCCTTTCCTATGCCTTCTATAGCTATCTTGAATATCATCATATTAGCCTTTCTCATGCCTTCTATAATTTTCTTCAATATTATTCTCTTCTTCTCTCGTCAATTTATAAAATTTTCTATAAACTATTTCCTCTACTCAAAGCATAGAGAGTAAAGATTAAGACTACACCACCAAACTTCTCATGTGCAAATTTCATATTCATACTTCCGGACAAAGCCTCAAATGAATACATAATAATAAAGATATAAACTACAGAAATGAACCGAAGCTTCTAGTTAAGGCTGAAAAAAGAATTGCACAAAAAGATAAAAAGAGTAAAGTCCAATGCCGAAGCACTTTGCTGCCTCAACCGAACAAATTTCTCGATTTTCTCTCCTCGTTAGTCCTCCCAGACCCCACTTGTAGAAACACGCTCGGTTTGTTGTTGCTCCTACTATCAAAATCAACTTTAAAACACCTTACAGGAAATAGATCAACTGTGTGATTGACATCCATAATTTATTATTTTATACTAACCTGGGCATATAGACGTTAAAAGTAAGATTGGATCTTCCACCGCACCATCTTTTCGAACCCAATTGAAGTAAGTTGTTGATATTTTACATACGTTGACTAATTTGTATCAAAAAGCCGAAGACAAAATAGAAAATTCAAACTCAAAATAAACATTAGAAATGAAGAACAGAAGAATGGTAAACATTTACCTGTTGTAACTTGTTGTAGGGCATAGGAACGTATTCAATCAAAAATCACCCCAACTCGCCTTTGAATTTTGATAACCAAATCTTCCATTATCCTGCCACAAATGATTCGCCCTATGAGGCTGAAATCTTCAACTAATAAAAAAAATATTAAAATCGATTATTCCTGGTAATTTAGAATTGAGGAGAAGGCTCTGAAAGAGCACTGCAGAAGAGCGAAAGGCATCTGCTATAGGAGCGAGAGAGTTGAATAGCAAAGGCGTTGCAAGCAATTTCAGTTACAAAAAAAGATTGAAGAGAAGAACGCGACATTTGAGTTTTATCGTTTTCCATAAGAGAACATCAATATGAGAAAATAGGGCAAAACGCAGATAAACAGGAAAAAAAAAAAAAAAAAAAAGGAAAAAAAAAAAAAAAAAAAACTAGTCCAGGTGCCACATCAGCTCTTCTATTCCCTCAATTTTATATATATAAATTCTATGGTTAGAGTATAAATTATTATCGACCTAATCTTTAACCAATTTCTATACCATATTTGTTAAAACCTTGCCTTTCCTCTATACTGCTACTTTTTCTTTGCTTATTCTCCAGTTGCGTTGCCTCGTTGAAGTTGACTGGGATCTTGATCTAGAATTATGATTGATGTTTGATTGTTACTCATTGGTCTTACTGTTAGGGGCTTAAGTAGTATTTTATCTTTTAATTAAGGTTTAAGTTATTTGTTTGATCTTTTGTTTTTGTTGTCTTAAAGGCATCTGCATATATATTTTTATTTTTCACATAGTTAAGATGAGGGAGGGAAAGATCCAAAAGGTAATAAACTACTAGAACTCAAATTCGTGACACTACGACTCGAATTGTGTCTTATTGGCTACCGGTTGTATCACATGTCCCGTGGTGGGACGAAGGTGAATGTATACACTTTTTATTTTGGGAAAAAAATTTCAAAAACTGAGTTTGCAAAAGCTATTTATCCCAAAAAAAACTCAAATAAACGTTGAATTAGCTAGTTTTGAAGTTATCAAGTGTGGAGATTACCAACTCATAAAAGTATGGAACAGATATTTGCTAGTGATAAGGATAATCCAAATCCTAACAGATCATTCTCACAAACTGTCACGATCCAAAATCCTCTATAGGCCGTAATGGCGTATAACGCCACTGTCAGGCAAGCCAACAGTGATTTACCAATTTAATTACTCATTTTATTACGTTCGAAATCATAAAATTTAATAAGAAAAGGAGATTTACACTTCTGAATCGCCGGAACGTACAACATTTGTAATTTATAAAAGAAATGAAAGGCGATAATAATATACGAAACTCTAAGCATTAACTAGTATAACCCCAAACCCCGGTGTCACAAGTGTATGAGCATTTTTTAAGGAGTACAATAATAATACAATATTTGTTCAGCATGTAAATAAGACAGGATAAAATAAATCGTATGATGGAGACTCGGTGGACTGTGATGCGTAGCCTGGATTGTATCTTACATAAAGTCTCCTCAACAGATGCGCCTATGCGCCATGATGATCACCAAATGAACCTGTCAGATCCTGCACATTTAGTGCAGAAGAGCAGCATGAGTACGTAAATCAATGCGTACCCAGTAAGTATCTAGCCTAGCCTTGGAAAAGTAGTGATGAGGGGTCAATATCGACACTTACTAGAGGTCCAATAAAATAATATAATAATTCATGACAGATACGAAGTGCACAACGATAGTGGAGTAAATCTATAAATTTCATAATCTTTCAAATATTTCTTTTAAAGTATAAATTTCTCGATCTTGTATTCTACCTTATCAGCTCAGAAAATGCCACGTGTCAATATCAAATAAATAAGGAATACCATAAAAATATCGGGTATCAGTGAAAGGTTTATCTCGTGAATATTTGGACTATTAGCGATATAATGCACAATTCTGCCGAGGTCATTCAGCTCGATCCGGAATAATGTGTACAATGCCGAGGGTCGAGCGGCACGAACCATAGATGCATCTATTATACTGCCAAGGCATTCGGCCCGTTCCACAAGAAAGGAAGGAAGTTATCGAATTACGAGACACGTACTTACAATACAGTACTTGAGCACAAAATGAATATAATCTTTACCGTCTCTCAAATAACTCGCCCACAACTCAAAGTGTTAAGGCTCGGCCTAGTATACATATATTTATTTCTAAATCAAATTCAGTTATCACTTTAATTAATAAGCCAGCAGAACGAGTTCAAATAATTTAATTATTACATGATAAAGTCCTAAGTCTATCCGGACATAAACATGCTTTAGCTACGTACGGACTCTCGTCACCTCGTGCCTACGTAGCACCCACAACTAGTTGCACATAACAATAAATATCACAGAGGGGGTAGTTTCCCCCTAACAAGGTTAGACAGGAGACTTACCTCGCTCCGAAGTTTCATAATCAGCTCCAACGCCTCTCTACACCCCAACTCAAAGCCAAACGTCTCGAAACTAGTCAAACAACGTGTAATTCAATCAAAATATACTCTAATGCTCACAATTTAACAATTTATAAAAAATTCCAACTCCGCTCGAAAAGTCCATAAAATTAACCCTTGGGCCCACGTGCCCGGATTCTAAGAATTTTCAAAAATAAACTTTACCCATAATACCACGAACTCAAATATATAATTTATTCCAAATTCTATGTCCAATTTCGTGGTCAAAATCTAAAAATACCAATTTCTAAGTTTTCTATCAAAACCCTAAATTTCTATAAATTCTCATGCTTAAATCCATATATAAACCATGTATTTAACTCACAATGTGAAGAAATCACTTACCCCATTATAGATGATGAAGATGGCCCCCAAAATTGCTCCAAAATCGGCTCCCATGGACGAAATGAAGTGGAATTGAGCCAAACCCCCATTTTAAAAGAACCACACTGCCCAGCCCGACCTTCGCACCTGCGGAACAGTAGTTGCTTATGCGGCTCCGCTTCTGCGGAAGCTTCCTCGCAGATGCGGCTCCCCCCAAGGCCAGCTTTTTCCGCTTCTGCGGCCATCCAACCGTAGGTGCGCATCCGTTTCTGCGAAAAACCTCTGCACCTACGGACTCCCCAGCTCGAGCACCACTCCGTACCTGCGTGCCCATGACCACACATGCGGCTTCGCAGGTGCTCTACAACACTCGCACCTGCGATCATCTAACCCAGACCACTCCCGCTTCTGCGCTTCTCCGCCCGCATCTCTCCCTACCGCTTCTATGACCCTTGGGCCATTTCTGCGGTCTCTCACCTGCAGGCATAACCTCGCAGGTGCGATCACACCAGAAGCCTTAAGCTTCAGCAGTTCTTCTAAGTCCAAACTCGATCCATTTCCAATCTGATTCGCACTCGAGGTCCCCGAGACACCGTCCAAACATACCAACACATCCCACAACACGATACAGACTTAGTCAAAACCTCGAATCACGTCAAACAATATCAAAATTATAAATCGACGATCGAAATCCTTCTTTAAACTTTCAAACTTCGACGAACGCGTCTGAATTACATTCAAACATCTTGGAATGACGCTAAACTTTACGTGCAAGTCCCAATTCACGATACGAACCTATTTCAAGGCCCGGAACTCCGAACGGACATCGATAACACTAAAATTCATTTCAAATCAAACTTAAAAATTTCTTAAACTTCCAAAATGTCAACCTTCCATAATAAGCGTCGGAATGCTTCCGGGTGGTCCGATACTCAATCTGAACATACGCCCAACTACGAAATTATCACACGAATCAATTGGAACCTTCAAATCCCGATTCTGAGGTCTTTTGCTCAAAAGTCAAACCTTAGTTAATTTTTTCAACTTAAAGCTTTCGAAATTAAAATTTTCTTTCCAAATCAACTTTGAACTTCCCAAAATTCAATTCTGACCACACATACAAGTCATAATACCTGAAGTGAAGTTACTCAAGGCCTCAAACCATTGCACGACACTCTAAATCTTAAAACGACCGGTCAGGTCGTTACACCAACGTGATCCACTTACTTTAAATTATATTAGCTAGAGTACTAGTTATAGTCACACTCAAACTCTTGTGAATATCTGTTGTACTTATATATTTAGATTGAAACCTTCCGAATGTACTATATAAATTGTACATAGTTGAGGCAATGAATACAATCCTTTTTTGCTACAGATATTGAGATTCATTATGGTTTCAGAGCATTGAAAAACTCTAATGAGTAGCTCGATCCTGGGAACCTCATTTTTTTCCCCTTCAATTCACTTCACTTTGACTTTTCTCAAAACTCTGAAACCGTTGTTATCACAGCTACTGGTAGCAGCAACCCTCCACAACAAACTCAGCTCATCACCATAAATCCAGCCTCGCAATTGCCTTTCAAGCTCACTAGCAGTCATAATTTTTCGACATAGAAGGCCCAACCTTCTACCGTTCTCATCGGATTGAGGACAAGATCCCTAATCGGAGTCATAGAAAGCAAGGAGCTGAAATGTGGTCTTGGAGGTGAGGAAAAGACCCAAGCCAGGGTTTTTAAGAAGATATCTCAAGCAAGGAAAGGATGCATCAAGATGGGTTGCCGAGGTGCTTGAATGTACTGACTAAGATGTTGAACGACGAAAGAGAGATCCGGTCGAGTGTGGGTAAGGAAATTCAATTTCCCCAACAGTCAGCGATAAAATGTGAGATCTTTGATCCGAGGACCCTGCTCAAGCTGGAGTTTTTGGGTTGGATCAAGTGGAGAAGAAGTTGGTCGCAGACTTAGGCATTGAAATTCTGACAAAAGATCTAAGGTAAATTTCTTTTGAGTTAAAATGATGCCATGTTTTTCCCTTAGAATCTCAAATCCTAAGAAATAATGTTCATCCCCTAAATATTTGATTTTGAACTCTAAATTGAGGAACAACTTGAGGTCCAATTGTTCACTAGAATCATCTTCTGTAATCAGTATATCATCAACGTAGACTGCAACAATAGTGATTCTTCCTTTTGATTTTTATTTTTTTTAAAAAGAGAATAATCGTTGAGAGTGTGTGAATACCCCTTAAAATTCAAGGTTGTTGTGAGCCCCGCATACCATTGTCTTGAGGCTTGACGCAATCCATATAAGGATGCTTTTTAAAAGGCAGACATGGTTGGGTGAGGGAGGTGTTGTGCCTGCTGGAAATTTCATAACATTACTAAAAAATCAGGTTTTAGCAACGGATAAATTATATAGCTAAACAGAAAAATCCGTCACTAATCTCATTTAACGACAAATTAGCAACGGATTATCAAGAAATTCTGCTAGCTACGACGGTTTTAGCGACAGATTAGCGATGACATTCGTAGCTAATTCCAGTTTTTTTTGTAGTGTAAAAACCTCTTCT